CGAAATGGGGCTTCTCCGGCGAGGATTGGCGCAGACCGGTGAAGGATTTGAGGGCAACGGAAGCCATTTCGTGGAGCGGTGGAGGGTGGAGGAGCAATGGCTGTGAGTGTTCGCTCAGATGGTGATTTTTATATATTTAATGGATATGGTTTTGAGATATGAGTGGGTGTTGGCCGTTGGATGTAGAGAATGGACGGTGGATGTTAGAAATGGATAATAGAGCTGGATTTTTAGGATACCATTTTTTTTTGTATTCTTCTTTATAATTCTAATTAGTAATGATCGACTGGTATTGCACCACGTTACCACCACTATTCAGATTGAGTGTCTAGTTCTTCTGCCGGAGCAAATGCAGCCAATTAATTAATGCCAACTCAGCTATATACGTACACGGGCTGTTGCCTCCCGTAGAAAAACAACAAAACAAAATTGTTTCAGAAAGTTGACAACTTTTATCGCTAAAATGTATAGTTTTAGGAAAGTTTTATCTAAACTTTTAAGTTTGTTTAATTGAATGAACCTTATAAACCAATAATATCTCAACAAAACACTAGGCTTTAATTTATCTTTTTTCAAAGGTAGATATTGGGAGATTTTTTCTTTTGAAAATTTGAGAGAGGTTTTTGGTTGAATAGCTATTAAGTATTAATTTTTACCCACTTTTTTAATATCCATAAGTATATAACACCGAATGACTCTCACTATTCCTCTGTTAATTTTTTAGATTTTCCTCCCTTCTCCCCTTTCTCTCCCTCCCTCTCTATATATTTTGTTTTTCTCTCATTTTCCCTTGATCCATTCTTTCTTTTCTCTTCTTCTCTTTTTTCATTCTTCTCTCCTTCTCTCTTCATGCTACTATGAGTTCTTTTTTTTCTGTCATCATCTCTTCTCTTTTTGTTCTTCTCTCTCTTCTCTAATTACTATTTTTCTATTTCTTTTTTTCTATCTTTTTTTAATCGGCAGTCTCTATAATTCTAGTGACCTCCAACAATCACCCGATGCATGCATCAAAGTCGAAGATAAGAAGGCTCATGAGAGAGGAGAGAGAGGGAGAGCTAGAAAGACGATTGATTTCCTAAATCATTGAATTCATTTTGAATAAATGTTTATCCCAAACAAATCTAGAGATAGATATTTTTTTATTAAAAATTTGAAAATTGGGAGGGGAGGAAATAGAATCTCAATCTCCTTAATTTTAATCTTGGTATTAAATTTAATCCAAATTTGTTTCCTTAAATCTCTCCTTTAATCTTTGATAGTTTTAATTATGATTGAATTTAAAATTTAATTACAAAAATAAAAATCTTGGAGAGAGAGCGAGAGAGGGAGAGACAGAGGGAACGAGAGATAGCAAGAGAGTCGTTAAGGATCCCACATTGAGGATCCCAAGAGACGTTTATAATAGACATGAGCTACTCTCCCATTGTCAATTGTTTTTTAGATGAAACTCATAAATATTAATATGGTATCAGAGCCCGAAACTCAAACAAGCAACCGGTCTAAAAAAATTCGAACTAGACTCCCGCGGGTACCCAACCCTGCCACGAGGATGGAGATGGCCCTACCCATCCTACTCCGTTGCCATCCCTAACTGCTTTAGATATTTTTACATTTTTGAAATTAGTGGTGAATATAATATACGTCTACTTAAATAATTATAGTCTTCTTGATCAAGGAAAAAGTTAAATCGTTTTAGTAGATTTAAAGATAAAAATTGAATTTTTCTACAAAAGTTCTTACTAGCATTCATAGGAGTCTCAAAAGTAGATATTATTGATTGACAATGTTGAATATCCGTAATTCTTTTTTTTGGTCGGTAACTTTTTAAAAGTTTAAATTTCATCTTTTATTATAAATTTTTTCAACAAAATGATTATTATTACTAAATGTTATAAAGAAAACTAATGTAGGGATTTAAAAATTATATTTATTTAGCAACCTTTATAACGTGTTCATCCTCTTCATTTCAATAAAGCAATTAATTATATCCGGTGAAATGAATAAGTTTTCAATTTATGAAGTCCTACCTTTAATTTTGAAATAGGTAAATACGAAATATAAATAGATGTGGCATGGATTAAAATTGAAAGGAAAGATACTTGAGAACAAGAAGATTTTTATGGAGGTATTTGGGGCGCGGTTAGATATCGATAGTCTAAGGTAAATTTGGGAGTATTTTAATGTATGAGGTTGAAAAGTCTGTACTTTAGAGGTAGGAATGTGTAGCCTAAGTAGCTTGTATTTGAGGTAAATTGTATGTTTTTCCATATCCTAGTTTTAAAAGTAGCAATTTATGGATAACTTAGATTTTCCGATTTTTCAAACAAAGCATCAATATGCAGTTCCAACATAATACAAACAAAAGAAAAAGGGGAAAGACATCCTAACGAAATACTAATCGGCGGTAGACGTTAGAAATATGTAACCCAGGTTTGAGTTTTCTTCCTCTCTTTGTGAACTGTTTCGTTTTCTCAATATAATTTCAAAGACAAGAACATAAAATTTCCCGACCATATCTCCATCTCCAAAAATTTCTACGCAACTTTATTAAGTTCAATATCACCCATTTGAATTAAGTGCTAACTTAAAGTTATTTTGGTGTATAAGTGATGGATCAGCATCTCCACTATTCCTTTCGTTTGTGTTTCTAGGAATTTGCTTGAATTCTTATGCCCGTAGTTTAAGCAACCTCGAGTAGGTCACCACCTCATTGCAGCAAGTTACAAACCCATATTATATATATTACTATTACCCACCATCTGCCCACCAAACCATCACAATTTGCAAAATTTCCACATAAAAAATTTGACCAAAAAACCGTTGCAGCTAAAGCAAGGTAGCTATAAGTAGGTTTGAATCTCCAATTGTTTGTTTATCAACCTAACACATCCTTTCTTCTCTTAAATCCTCCCAATTAATCAACATGTCCATCCTCAAACATGAAATTCTCTGCATCACTCTGTTTCCTCACATTGCCATTGGCCTTCTTGGCCGCCATTACAGGGTGCCAATGCAAGATGGTGCAGTTCATTTTCGGCGACTCTCTTTCCGATGTTGGAAACAATAGGTACTCCTGTTAAACTACAGTTCAATTCGAAATCTTGAACAAATTTAATCTTTTTATCCATACTTTTATCAGATACCTCTCGAGAAGCCTAGCTAATGCAAATTTGCCCTGGTACGGCATTGATTTTGGCAACGGATTGCCCAATGGAAGATTCAGCAATGGTCGAACTGTTGCTGACATAATAGGTACTCATATTCCTTCAATCCATCAGTTTAAGTTTTTGAGTTGAGTGGTAGTTTTTTCGTCCTTTGACATGAATGTTAACTTATGGGTGTGATCTTGTTTGTTCAGGAGATGAAATGGGTCTCCCCAGACCACCGGCTTTTCTGGATCCATCGTTGACTGAGGATGTAATTCTGGAAAATGGGGTGAATTATGCTTCTGGTG